GGGCTGCTATAACAAAATACCACATACTGGGTTGTTTCACAGTTCAGGAGGCCTGAAGACCATATTAGATTATTGACCTTGCTGATTTCCTATGAGAAAATGTATGTCTCTTAGTTTCTGGTTGTTGTTGTTCGTTGTTGTTGTTAAGTACCGTGGAGTTGGTTCCACTCACAGTGACCCTACACAGGGTTTCCGAGGCTGTGAATCTTTACGGGAGCAGAAAGCCTCATCTTTCTCCCGCGGAACCGCTGGTAGTTTCAAACTGCTGACCTTGAGGTTAGCAGCCCAATTTGTAACCACTACACTACCAGAGCTCCTTCTTGTTCATACGTGCCATCAAATTGATTCTGACTCATTAGTGAACTCATGGTGGCAGTCGAACCTCCCTTTAGGGTTTCCTTAGCTGTAATCTTTATGGGAGTAGAGCTCTGGGTCTTTCCCTTGAGGCACACCTGGATGGGTTCGATCCTCTAACCTTTTGGTTAACAGCTGAGTGCTTACCCATTCAGCCACCAGGGTAACTCTAGACCACCCTTGACTTTAGCTGTAGTGTTATATGGCATACATCCTCTAGCTCCTTCTCTTTGTATCTTCTCTTCTGCAAGGGCACCGGACACATGGTTTAAGACTCGCTTCACTCCAGTATGACACCATGGTCAACCAGCTGATATGACCTTCAGAGGCTTTCTTTCCAAACAAAGAAATGTGTCCGGTTTTAGGACTTCAACATGTTTTTGTTTTGCTTTCTAATCTGCGTGTGTGGGCACAATTTGATCCATAAAGGCTCTTTAATTAAATGCACTTGCATTTAAAATAGTGCAATGAAACATAAAAACTCAAATGATCTTATGATGTGAATTTTTAGCTTTAACTTTCTACATGTTTTCTATAAAGTAAGTGCACAGCACACTTTTTAAGCACGTCTCATGAAGTGTCTGTTCAAGTAGTCATAGAATGAGGCTCTGAAATCCATATAAACCAGGTTTCTACTGAGAGAAACAAATATTCTCTGTCCTTGATAAGACCAGAAGAATGGTCAACTTATCAAAACTATATATATATATATATATATATGCATTATTATTGTAATTGATACAAGCTTTAATATAGATTTATATAAGTTTTTCATATTGTTGTAATTAAGAAATTATACTTAGCAATTAAAAACAGTATTCCATCAATTGCTGTATTGTCCTATGGACCAATCTAATTAAGCTCAAAATGCAAAAATAAGGACAATAAATGGTGATGGCAGTGGTTATGTGCCATGGAGTCAGTTCCAACTTAGAGCATCCCTGTATAAAGCTTTCCAGGCTGTAAATGTTTAAATAAATAAATAAGCACATCAAATCATGTTTTTAATATGAAAAACTCATATTAAAAGAAAACGTTTTTAATATGAGTTTTAAACACACATGTGAAAATGTGTTTAAAATGTATTTAGTATGTTTGAAATGCTCACCATATCCTGACTGATTCAGCTACATTTGTAACACATTTATTTATTTGATTGGTTAACACTGTACTTCTCCAATAATATATATAGGTGATCCTGTATCAGAATGTACCTTAATACTCTGTCCAGTTAATTGTCTCTGAGATACATGAATAGATTAGGTTCCATGTAGGATTTTTAGTTCCAAGGAAGGGAGAGTTCTCCTCACACACTTCTATTCCACATATTTTTCTGTCTTAATATAAAAGCTTTTAACTGTCTTAATACAATGTTGACAACAATTGTATGAGTTACTCATTTAAAGATGGATAAACTAAAACCTTTAGAATTTTAATGACTGAACCACTATCGCACAGCGTGGTGGTGGTGGTTGTTAGGTGCCGTGGAGTTGGTTCCAACTCATAGTGACCCTGTACAGGATTTCTGAG